AACTTCATATAGCCTATTCTATTTCCTACAAGGAATACTCATTATGACTTGAAAGATTTCGAGAACTATCGAAAGGTTAAAAGATTTTCTCCAGACTGACGAGAGAAGTTCCTCAACTTGATTGTTTGTTTTTGAGTTGGGACTAGAGTCCATTGTCGGACCCGGACTCTGACGATCAAAATTTTAGATTCGAACCTGATTAGTTAATCTTTTATGGAAAGAGCTCGTCAGGTCCAAAAATTTCTGAACCCGGATCCGAATTGGACCGATGAGTTCTAGTTGAGATTACGTGTACTATATAAACTCAAATGAGTTATGAATATCCCGAAAAAGAGTTCGGATTCTTAGTTTATTGCTATGAAGATAGTGTATTTTGTTAAATGAATGCGGTAGTTACCCTCAGAAAAACTAATGTTCGAATTTCGATTGGAAACTTCGTACGTAATGAAAGTAGTTTTGTGCGAAAGTTTTAAGTATTTTAACTTACTTTTATCCTGAAATAAAAACATCGAATCTGTCCGTGGTTATAAGAAATTATTCTCGTGAAAAATTGTCTCTATTCAAAATTTCAAGTCGAAATTCGAAAATCAGTGTTTCTAAGAGAAATCACAGCATTCGTTTAAACACTACCGTAAAAATGCAGTAGTATCTCGACAACAATAAGCTAAAGACCTGAACTCTTTTTTAGGATGTTCATAACTCATTTGTCTCTACATAATATACATAGTCCTAACTCAAATTAGTTCGAGAATCTTTCTTGTGCGACTCAGTAAAAAGTAGTGACGGAGTCAATCGGAACTGCGAAGATCCGAAGCTCAGCTTCTTCAATCAGCAATGGAGTCATCTAATATACATTCGATAAAAATTTAAAAGATTCTATCAATAGAGTATAAAATCGTTCGTTTAATCTACCTGTTTATCTTCCATATGTTTTTGTGCAAGATTTCGAACATAAACATCCGGATATTTATCTGTTGGTTCACTAACAACTTCTTGCATTTCTCGATGATGTCTATAGAGATAAATAAATAAAATTCTAAAAAAAAAGTCAATTATAATTTAATTCAAACTTTGTATCAAATTCTTGTATTTGTTTATCACGTTGTTTTAACATATCTGCTATTTCACTTTGATAAATATATTCAAGATGAAGAAGTAATTCATAATTATTTCCTGTATGAAGAACATTTTGAAATGCATTTGAAAAAATATGTTCATCACTAGGTCGTTCAAAATTATGTATGTAGGCTTTACATTCCTATTATTAGAAAAAAATAGAAAAATTCGATTTGTTCTTTTATTTTATTTTTTTTTTTGATAAGAATTAACTTGAACAAGATTAAACCATTGATCGAGAAGTGTTTGTATTTCGAATTGTCCTTCAATAAAAGGTTGAACAGCTAATTGAGTTGTTTCATCAGCAATGATTTGAGTTTGTTCATTGAAAAATAATAGAAGTGCTTCTTGTAATTCTATAGTAAGAATAAATAAAAAAAAAATAAAACCAAAAATTAATTTTAAATACTTGGAAAAACAAAAATTGGTAAACGCCATTGATCTATAAGACGATAAGCATGTTCATTTATACAAGTTGTATTAGGAATGTCTAGTAAAACTGTATGATCGGAATATGTAAATGGAATTTGTTTTCCCATTAAATTAATTATAATCTGGAACAAAAGCAACCTTTGATCGAAATCATAATAATAAGTTAAATCTTTAACAAGATTTTTATGAATACAGATATAAGATGACTGAACAATTCATCGCGAATGTACGTAAGAATCTTTTATGTATCCTAATTTACACATCTACTTTCGATATTCCTTGAGAACACTTTAAAATGTTATGCGATGAATTATCCTTGTAGCTATATATAAGAAATGAGTTACATCTACTAATATCGAAGATTTTTCTTATTGATATTTTCATTAAAATTTAAACCGAACAATAATTTCGTTGTCACTAATCTTATTAACAAAGAATAAAGTTGTTTTTCCAGATGGAATTTTTTTTTTTTATTGTTTGGAGTGTTCGAAATTTATATTGAATAAAATTCATTCTTAACATTCTCTTGTTGAGAGATAAATGTCATCAGAATTTATACTATTAAATATCAAATCTGAAAAGGTACTGCTTGACTAGGCTAGTGGTGTAACCTGGAGGGAGCTCACCAGGGAACTTCTTCAGATGCCAAATTGCTTCTCGACTGACATGCTTTGACACCTGGAGAGGTTCCCTCGTCAATAGCTTATAACGTTGCTCTCCTCGGTACCTTCACTCGGGTAAGTTGGTGCGACCTATTAGACATATCTTTTGAAAGAATATACTATATTTTAATTGTATCATATAAAAATTTTAGTTTGAAAAAAGAAATAAATCTTGTGATTTTTAGTGTAATCTAGAAAAAAATAATAATTCGTATAAACTACTAAATAACTCTTTGAAAATTATATTTTGATTAGTTTTATCTTGTAAAAGTCATTTATTTGATTGAGTTATACTAAAAGAAAATTATATTTGATATAATCAATCAGATATAAAATAGTAGTGATCCATGAAACAACATTTAAATAACGAAATAAGAATGTTTATTTTGTTCTATATCAGATAAGTTGTCTTCTTTGACATGTATGATTCATTGATTCCATTACTTTATTTATTGACTTTATATATTAAATTTTTTTTTTCGTTGAATTTTTTTTATAAATTTCTAGAAAAAAAACTTTTAAATTTATATATATATTAAATAAACTCAAAATTCAAAAGTGACATCTATATATAAATAGATCTTAAAATAAACATTGGAGACATAGTTGTAAATAAAAGCAAAAAAAAATTTTTTTCTCCTTTAACTTTTTCTTAATTTTCAAAAAAAACTTTTCTTTTTTGTTTTAAATTTTAATTGAATTGATAAACAAATAAATATTCGAAGCGTTTTATTGTTGTTTGTTATTTTGATTTTACATATCTGCATTACCGTAATGTTTTATTTTTGTCTGTCTATATTATATTCATATCTATAGAATAACTTCAAATATTCGAATATATAATTAGATTATCATAAAAAAAAAAAAAAAAAGAAAAAAATTCAAAGAAAAATCTTTTCTATTCTTCTTTCTTTCAATTTGTTTTTCCGCTTGATTGATCAAATCATTTCTTTTTTTTTTTATTGTATTGAGGGTTTCAGTTCGAAGGTGATTTTTTATTTTGTATAATGTCTTAATAGGAATCAGTTAAGTAAATAAAACGTAAGTATAAACCTTTACGTTTAGTTTATTTCATAACAGAATACTTCTGTCAGGGTTTTTTTTTTGTTTTTGATGTTAGTAGAATGATAGAATAGTTTATTTCTTTTTTTTTTTTCAGAAAAATGGGTTGTACAGGTACAAAAGCAAATAAAGCTGAAGGTGATATTGATCGTTATCATCAAGAAATATTTGCTGCAGCACAAACGGGTGATGTTAAACGTCTTAAAGATATTCTTGATGAGTTGGATAGACGTAAAGCATCGACAACGAAAAAAGAAGTACTCAATATGGGTATGTAATAAAGCAAAATTATTTTTATTTTTACGATAATACGAAATATTCCGATGAAGTTTCGTCTTGTGAAAATTAACATTTACATTTACATATGAAAAGAAAATCATGAATGAATGTTAGTTATTATTTAATAATATAAATATATTGATAATTATGAAGATAATGAAAAAAATAATTCAAATATCAAACACGAGGAACACAAATGTGGGAAACACTAATTCGATTTTTTTTTATACACCTTGTTCAAAGTTTTATGGAACAGCTTAGTTAGAGCAAGTACCATTTGTTCGTGTGAATTTATATTAAACCATCAAAATATATTCGAAATATCAATTTATTAATATTGAACAAAGCTATCCATTCATAATCAATATCAAGCATTAGTACTTGCAGAATGTGTGTGTGTGATGATTTTAGTGAAATCTGTATGGATTGATTTATAATCAATTATTTGATATAGAAAATGAACTATGATTTATTTTTCTCATTCATAATTATCTCTATAAAAATATATAAGTTTATTATTATTATAGATCATTTATCATATGATCTATTTCATAATTCTTTAAATCTTGTAATAGTTTTTTTGATAATATATATTTTTCTTTTCAGGCTATCGAGAAGCAGACGGTCTAACAGCATTAAGTATAGCAGCTGGTAAAAAACACAAACCTCTAACTGAAATTTTAGCTTGTAAGTTATAATATAAATTCAATTGATCAATAATTTTATTTTCATTTATAATTAGCATGTCCCGAAGTCGATGTGAATAAACCATCATTATCCGGTATTACACCATTATTAATGGTTGCTGAAGTTGGTTGGCCAGATATACTTGATATTCTATTACATCGTGGTGCTATTGTTGACTCAGCACCATCTGGTAAACGAGCTGAAGAAAATAAAATAGCTGGTTCAACACCATTAATAGGTGCAACAAAATATAATCATCCTGAATGTGTTAAACGTTTATTAGCACATCATGCAAATCCAAATCATCAAAATCAATCGGGTATATCAGCATTAATGCTTGCAGCTGAACAAGGTTTTTTTGAATGTGTTAAATTACTTGTACAAGCCGGTGCTGATCTTGAATTAGCACCAAGTGGTAAGTATTTTATATTCTTATACATATAGCAAAAAGAAAATTAAGATATTAAATGAATTATGTCATTGATCATGATTCTAATTCGTGAAATATGACCGAAGATCATCTCGGATTAATAATCTCAAATCCATGAAGGGTCAAAAAAACATTCTTACTCACTCTTCATCTTTTTGTTAAATGAGAGGAAGGTCAATCTGACATTGTGTGCTTTGCTGGAACTACTTGTACATACTAACTAATGATAAGAGCAACTCACAAAATGTAGTCAATATTTTACAATTCTATAGAATTTTCTATGAAGAATTAAATTAATAATCAATATATAAATATTTTTCCTAGGTCAATTAGCATTAACAATGAATTTATGTGGTCAAACACCATTATTTTGTGCAGCTAAAGAAGGTCGAACAGAAATTGTTAAATATTTATTAGATCGTGGAGCTAATCCACGTGTTCAAAATCATTATGGTGTTAGTGCTTTATGGATACCAGCACAAAAAGGCATGTTACAAGTTGTTGAATTATTATTAAATGCCGGTGCTGAAACACATGTTGCACCGTTTGGTAATTTAGCTGATGAATTAAATATAACTGGTTGGACACCACTTTATGCTGCAATGAAATCTCGAAAATTTGATGTTGTTAAATTACTTTTGAAACGTGGTGCTGATCCAAATGCTGTTACAAAATTAGGTTCAACACCATTTTTACTTGCATCTGAAATATGTGATTTAGATATAATTGAAGCATGTGTTGAAGCTGGTGCTGATCTTGATTTTGCACCAAGTGGTCCCGATGCTGATAATTTAAATATAACTGGTCAAACGGCACTTTTTATGGCAACATTAAAAGATCGTGTTGATGTTGTAAAATTTTTAATACAAAAAGGTGCACATGTTAATGTACAAAATCGTTATGGTGTATCACCATTATTACTTTGTGCTGAATCAGGGAATTATGAACTTGTTCAAGCACTTGTACAAGCTGGAGCTGATGTTAATATAACACCACAGGGTGAATTAGCTGAAGAGAATTTTCTTGCTGGACAGGTAATAATAACAATAATAATCTTGGGGAGATTAACATTTCAAATGAATACAAAAAAAAAAGAAAGAACAATTGAAATTAATCGAATAGATTAGTTCATCTCTATTTCTTTGTGTGTATACGTATGGACATTATAATGAGAGATAACTGAAGAATAGAATATATACAATCTAGAAAGGAAACGATGTGAATTTTTACTTAGGATATATTAAAAGTTCTGAACACGGTGTTTAAAGAATATATTGAGAAATGAAAAACCAAATATATCATGTTGTAGAGTTTTTGGAGATGCGTCGAATGGTATACAGTAAATCTTGTTTTCATAAGACTTTAAAGGATCTAAAGTCAATTTATTGCTATCAGTAAATTGACTCTAGTTCCTTTAAAATCCTACAAAAAAACAGGATTTACTATATATTATTCGATGCGCCTCGAAAAGCTCTACAACATTGGATATTTGGTTTTTATTTCTTCAATAGGTCCTTTAAGCGCTGTGACCAGAACTTTTGATATGTCCTAAGTATTAAATTGACAGAAATATGAACAAATCTTTAACTAAAAAATGAGACATCTCTAGAGTCCGTCGGGTCTAAAAATTTTGGACTCTAGTTATCTATGAAATGTGTAGGCTGCACTAGTCACTGAATATAAAAACCTAGGAAAACATATCTCGTATCTTCGGGTCGCCTATCCAATTTCGATTTGACAGTTCCATTGAGAATATCAAAGTATGGTTCGACTTGGATTGTCTAGACATCTCATAAAACTGAGCAATGATCGATTGAAATTATGCGAGAGTTTACCGAACTCAAAAAAGCAAATGCTAATATGGGATGAGTACGATATGCATTATTGAAACATACTTTATTTCCTTGTGTTTTGTGAACTGTGTATATCAGACCTCGAAATTGGACCACTTTTTTTATGGTTCGAGCCCGAAAAAAATATTTCGTTCACAAAGATTTCTTTTTCTCAAAGGAGAGCTATTGCATATTTTTTGTCTTTTAGAAAAAAGTGATGACCCGAGAGGGGGGGGGGGAGCTCAAAGGTGAGTCAAATGTCAAAAGAGGATAAAATCATCGGGTCGCCAGGTCTGACAAAATATTCGGTTGGGTCAGGTCATATATAAGCTTCTAAGTGAAAAAAAAATTATATATGAAAATAGATTAATTTCAATGCTTAGAAATCAATAATTATTATTATTATTTTGATTTTTTTTTCTTAGACGCCTCTCTTTGGTGCTGCCAAGAAAGGTCATGTAGAAATTTGCGAATATCTTATTCAAAATGGTGCCGATGTCAATGCTGTAACAATGGTATATTATTTGAATTAATATATATGTTCTTCTAAATAATTCTATTTTTAGACTGGCGCCACACCACTATATACAGCAACGGAAGAAGGTCATTTAGATGTTGTTCGATTATTAATTCGTCATGGTGCTGATGTAAATCGATCACCGAAAGGACAAGTTGCACGTGATCTTCATATTGAAAATCAAACACCTTTATTAATAGCATGTATGAGAAATCATGAAGCAATTATTCGACATCTAATTGAATCAGGTGCAAATGTTAATGTAACATCTGAACGTGGATCATCACCATTTCTTGCTATATGTCAACATAATAATGTTGAATTAGCACGATTACTTATTCAACATGGAGCTCGACATGATGTTGAAGCTAAAAATTTATATGATGGAAAAATTAATGGTTTAATTGTTGCTGCTGAATCAGGTTCATTTGATACATTACGTTTATTAGTTGAAGCTGGTTTAGATGTTAATTATAAAATTGAAGGAAAAGTAAGGATATAAGTTTAAAGAAAAGAATTTATTAAGAAATTTTCTTTTCTATTATTAGGGTGAAACAGCTGGTCGTACACCTTTATTTTGTGCATGTGCGAAAGGCTTTCAAGATATTGTTGAATATTTAATTGATCGAGGAGCTGATGTTAATGGGACAGAAAAAGTAAGATTATTTCGTGAATTTTAATTTTATTTTAATGAATGTTGAGTAGAGAGCTGTAGATCATGTCTGAGTACAGCGTTTCGACCTAAAGTTCAACTTTTATAGATTGAATATTTTCTAACAAGGTAACCAACCGTTTTTGAATCCGGACTCTACTCAGATATGACAAATATCCAAAAGAATGAATGCCCTTAGATCATCCCTTCAAGAGTTATTGTTATTTTAGATTGTGGCATAGCTGTACTAGAACATTTCGACTTAAACTTTAGTCTACAAATACATCTACTTGTGAATAGAATGTACTAAAAATTTCAGTTCAGAACTTAAATATGCGTGGACTAGAGCTTGTTGAGTTCAAGAATTTTTAGATCCAGACCTGATGGACTTTACCGTGAGCCGAATTTCAAGTCGAAATATCTTTCATTCGTTTTATTGGTACATACCATGCTATAGCCTTACATTCGTCTATAACTCTGAAGGAAAGATCTAAGGGCATTCATCCTTCTAGGACTTGTCTATCTTTTGCATAGGATCCGGACTCAAAAACAATTTATTACTTTAAGTGGTTCCCTTGTAAGAAGAAGCAATATATAGTTGAAATTTCGATCGTTCATTCGGTTATGTATACAGAAGATGTCAAATATTGATGAAAAGAAAAACTCAAATACAGACCCGATTGGGTCCTGGTCTACAAAAACTTGTGACTACGGACCCTGGGGCGTGGGGAAGGGGTGGTTGAGGGGGTTTAAGCCACTCCCTCAGGAGAGAAATTGCCTGGAGGGAGGGGGGGGGGTACGGGCACATTATTTTCGCTCAGCGGAAAAGTTTTTTGGCTATGTTCAACTCCTCCACCCCTCAGAAAATTCCTGGCTACGCTCCTGTATAAACCGTTTTACTGATTTTGCCGAGATATTGAATTTTCAAATAAACTCAATCGTTGTGGCAAACGAACATTCTTTTCAGCTGAAACTTTCAGGATATTCTATTATTCATTCTATCCGTTTATGAACAAAAGTTCAGATCGAAAATTTCAGTAAAACGTTCATACCTCGACTATTGACACAAACTCTTTAAGGATTTTTCTACTCTTACCAAGATCTTGAAATAGTTTAAGAAAATGTTTTCTCTTTAAATCAAACAACTCTAATATGTTCTTACGTAGTTAATGAAATATTTCATTGATGTAAAATATTTATATATATAATATTATAATTTATTTAGAGTGGTCTCTCATGTTTGCATATAGCAGCAGCTATGGGCCATGCTGATACAGTTCGAGTCTTATGTGAACGTGGTGCCAATGTTGATCAACAATTTCGTTTTGAAGAACAAGATGTAACTGCATATGATTTAGCCGAATCTCAGCAACATGATCATGTATGTCAAGTACTTAAAAATTTCGGCGCACGACAGCCACCACATAGTACATTGCCCAGCCATGTTGAACCTAATAAATAAATATATTCCTTTCTGTCACTGTATATCTAAATACAACGTCCCGTTGTTCGTACTTTATTTATTCCTTTTTTTTTTTTTGTGTCTCTTCGATCGATGGTTGCTCTTATTGTTCTAAATCTTTCTTTCTTTTTTTTTTTTTTTCGTCGTTTTGTGCGCCCAACTGTGTGTAATTTTTTTTTTCTTCTTCTGTATTGTCTTCAATGTTCGCCAGTACACGAGCTCACATTCTTTTCTCTTCTTTTTTTCAATATCTACGTTCCTTTCTTTTTTTTCTTTATTGAAAAATTCCTATGTGTGTGTGTGTGTGTGCGTGCGTGTGCGTTTGTGGTCTAGAGAAAGAGAGATATTCTAGGAATAAAAGTGAACAAAATAGTGTGTGCGTGTGAGAAAAAAGAATAATGATAGCTACATTTTAATTTTTTTCTTTATTCAACATAAAAAAACAAACAAATCTGTTGAATTAATTCTCAGATTTAGATTATTTTAGAAATGAGAAATCAAAGAAAAAAAAACCGAAGATGTAGATGTATATGATTATCTAATCATAATTAATTTTTTGGAATATAGTTTGAAATATTGGAGAGAGAGAGAGAGAGAGAGAGAGAGAAAACAACCGAAAGAATATGTTAGATATAAATGTTATGATAATTTTTAGAATGGAATAAAAAAAAATCATTAACAATGAGATTCTATCAAGATTTCAATCTGATAAAAAAAAAAAAAATAATTCTACTCTAGTGATTTTTACTAAATTGTAGATAATACTCTCATATCAAAATAATTATATGTAAATATCACAGTATACAATAAATAATCATTACAAATCACAATCAAAATATTCTTTATCGGATAAATCAAATAATATCCAAGTGTCTGTATCAATAGACAAATCATCAATTTATCTATTCACTATATCACAAGGACATCAAGGTATATTATTGACAATAACTTAATATAGGTGATTACCGTTGATATATTCAGTCTAGTCATTAGAATTCTACTCTTTTCGAGTAATACTATTGACAATGAATGTTAATTACTATAATGAGAAAATTGAACTCAGCCTTGTTATAGATACACATCCTATCTACTGTCTGTTAAAAAAGAAAACTGGTCATGAGTATTTTTGCAATAACTCGATAACGATAACAGCTAGAGACCTGCGACTTTCACCAACTGGAAGAGTAGAAGTTGGGACATTTCTTTCTCTGATAATGTATAAGAACATCTTTGAAGAACATGCAAAAAAATACATGAAAATGACTTTCCATCTAGATGAAATTTTGATTTAGATAGAGGGACCTGAGATCTATAGTTCAAAATACAATGCGCTTTTTTTGCTTTTCATTAGATTTTTATCGAAATTCCACGCTATTATAAGAAAAGTGCAAAAACTTAGTAAAAAAGAATCAACAAAATTCCCTATTATTTGCGCATGTAAATATATGATTCCATTTTCTCAACGTTAGAATGTAATAGGAGAACCATTCGCATTGTATCTTGAACTATAGATCTCAGGCCTCTCTATCTAAATCAAAAATTTCATCTAGATGGAAAGTCATTTTCATGCATTCTTTTGCATGTTTTTCAAAGATGATTACTTTTAAAAGGATTTCGTCTTATACATTATTGGAGAAAAAGATGTCCCAACTTCTACTCTTTCAGTTGATGAAAACCGCAGGTCGCTAGTTGTTACCATTATTGCAAAAATACCCACGGCCAGTTTGTTTTTTAACAGACACTAGTTATTATATTCTACTTTGTGAGAAGGTTATTGAGAATCAATATATCTGTTCTGTCATCATGACATATTACAATCAACATCTTCTTGTCATACATCATAATAGAAAAAAGACAAAGATCTAGTTTATTATATTTACCAGAAAAAAAGAAAAAGATTTAAAATTAAATAAATTTTAGATAATGTATCAACGTCTATGTTTATTCATATCTCATTCTTTTGTAAATACAATTCCAACATATCGTTCAATACAAACTATGAATGAGGGTAAAATAAATTTGATTAATTGATTTTGATATCTTATTTTGTTTTTTTAATATATTAGTTCGAAAAGGTTTACAATCTTTAGTTGGTGCGCAATTAGTCTTTGCTTATGGAGATCAACATGGAAGTCATGCTCGATTAACTGAAGATATAAAAATTGATTCTACATTAGCATCACGTACAATACCAGAAAGTTATGATGAAGCTATTATTCCTCTAGGTAGAAAAAATCTTTGTATCTTTTACTATTTTTTTTTTTTGTTTTAAATAATTAGCATCAGATGTAAGATTACGTGAAAGATATGCTAATTTTGAAAATAAAGTACGATTTGGAAGAATACTTGAAGATCTTGATACAATGGCTGGTATTTACAAACTAAGATTTTTTTTTTTTGATATTGATTTTTTTAATTTAATTAATATAGTTCATATTGCATATAAACATAATAGTCCACAATTAATTAAATCAATTAATGTTCATCCATTAGCTATTGTTACCGCTGCTGTTGATCGTATAGGTCAGTAATAAAAAATAAATCTTTATTTTTGTTTTAAAAAGTATTCTTGTAGAAGTTGCTATAGCACATATGCATATTGATCGAGATATTCGTTTAAGTGGTTTTGCTTCTTTTGTTGGTAAAAGTTCTATGGAAGCTACTTTAAAAATTGATCAAGTAAAAATATTCTTGCATACAAAAAAAAAAAAAAAAAAAAAAAATTATATTTAGGATAATAATGGTACTTGGGAACATGTACTTCATGCTTTATTTGTTCTTGCTGCACGAGATCCAAGAACAAAAAAGTGAATTCTATATAATCTCATAGTTTTTTCTTTTTGTTGAATTTATTTTTTATTATAAAAACAAAAAAAAAAAGATCAGCCAAAATGAATCCATTAGTTGGATTAACAGAAGAAGATCATACAATTATTAAAGAAGGCGAATGTAAGAAAATATATATTATGATTTGATTTTTTTTATTTTGTTATAAAATATTTAATAGTAAAACGTCAACGTCGTCTAGCTGAACAAGATAAATCATTATTTAAAATTCCGCCTGATACAGCTGAAAGTACAATTATTCATAATCTATTTCTCAATACAATTTCACCAAGGTAAAGAGTTTAGATCTTCTAAATGATTAAGACATCTCAAGAAAGACGAACTTTAGTATTAAACATTGAATTTTAATTGGCAATAGATGAAATTATTCTTTTTCGATCTACACAAAGATCTCTGCACAGAATCCATTTAATTTGAATAGAAAACACTTTCTACAATCGTTTATAGCTAGAACCGAAAGTTGTAAGCACATCGCACCGAAAAGATCTAGACTGGGGATAATTTATCATACTGAATTCAATAGTGATGTTTCAGAACGATATAAAGATATTACAAGGTGGTCTAAAAGTAACCCGACAGTCTTTGATAGGAACAAGATAGAGAGCTGCGGTTTTCACTGTTCGAAAGAGAGGATGAAGAGAGGCATCGAATTATATAGTATAAGATAATTTGACTGAGGTCGATGTACTCCGTAAGATGATTACACTGAATTTTTTTGTGATCAGATGTGCATTCGAATCATTAATTAAAAACCTATACAATTCTGCAAAGGTCAGACTCTTAAGAGTTATTCCGACAAATTTTTTTGGAAAATTCTAAACCAATCTATAATATATTGATTCGATACGTGTTCATCTTCTATTTCGAACGGTGAAGACTGCTGAATTACTTTTTCGACCAATTTTTCTTCGTCATTTTGACCTTTCAGAGGTATTACAAAAGTAATACATCGAAAAAGTCTTATAACTCTTGAACGAAACAAGTTAGTAACGCGTGGAATGAAAAAGAACTATTTCATTTATCGAACGGTGATATCACATCGATATACAGTGGAGTGCAAAAAAAATTGTCGTTGCATATATGCATTTTCTCGAACCATATCTGTGAAGAGCATGAATGGATTCTTCTGAAACTTCCATCGGCAGTCAAGGAGATGCTATAGATTGTGGTGAAAGCGAGACACCTTCAAAAGTATGGTTCCATAGGCTGAGAGACATCGTGATTCGAGCATCCACCGCTTTTCTGCCATATCGAGCGGTCATCTTACACTGACGGGACTACAGCAATCATTGAGCTACGAAAATCGTCTTCTTAGGGAAG